CCTCCACCCAGGCCGGCCTGCAGTGCTAGATATGATATCTGAACCACCAACTATCGGGAGTATGGATTCACAACACAAAAACCTATCATTTAAAATGGAGAAAAATTGTGGGTTATTTGCCAGATAATAACCAGAAAATCCAATGCTCATTGCTGTGCTATTTTTTAGTAAACTTTTGTGTTTAATGCAAAATAAACTGTTAGAGATCTGAACATTTAGAATATGATGAGACTAAATTGGAAATAAATAACAGGTCTCAGTTCATCCATTACATCAAATCCCAGAGCAGAAAATAAGAGTAAATCACATTGTTTACGTAGACTGTATAACACCTGTACACTTGCCTGTATAATAACAGTCAAATATGTAAAACCTCAGATGCCAAACTACAAGTTTTTATTCTGAACTAAACTGCATCTCTGAGCAACAGTCTGCCTGAGACATGAGCCAAGAAGGAATCAGACACTGGAGATACGGTTGTTGAGGTCAGAAAGAAGAGAAGCATCAAAGGAGTGGTCAGATTGAAGCTAAAGTTCTTGGAACTGGTTTCTTCCTAGAGAGAGTGGATGTAAGATAACTATAAAACAGCATCTGTGCAATACATTCGTTTGTTGCACATTGAAGGCCATTATTTGATTGAGAAGCCTTACAGCTAGTAGATTGTTTACTTTATCATTAGTATGGAGTGTTTTCACCAAAGTCCTGAATCGATTCAATTTTGATTAATACATTTCTAAATCGATTAATTCCGATTTGATCTGTTTTTACAATAATGAAAAAGGTTCAACTGTGTCTCAAAATACTCATGTATTTTATGTTTTCCTGTCACATTAAACACAATGTGCAAACTTGTAAATAAGACAGTTTAAACTTGAGATGTGAACAAAACTGTCTCATAAGTGCAAACTTGTTTGTCAAAAGTGAAGCCACACTCGAGCAAGCAGACGTGACACAGCAGACATGCATAAGCTGCATTATCTCCAGTACACCATATTTGCAGCATTGTCTGTAACAACTACAGGGTGTTTGCTGGTCAGCCCCCGTTTGTTAATGTCTTCAGTCAACCTATTGGCTATATTTGCAGCTGTCTGGCTTGAAGTCATCTTGTGTGCTGGTTTCCTGCTCATTTGAATGTGAACGTCACACGCCTCTCTATAAAACTAATCGATCTCATTCCCTAGACATCGATTTTGCAAAAATGTAAAGGAATCGATTCAAAATGTATTAAATCGATTTTTTTACCCAGCCCTAATCATTAGCCATAGTTATCAAATGCTTTAAAATAGCAAGGTATTTCAAACTAAACCCTTGTTATGTACAGCTGAAGTATGTTTTATATTTGCATTTTGTATTCACTTGCTTTTCTGTAGCTATTTCTCTCTTTTTACATATGGATTTATTTTGTCTTTAGTATAATGATGATGATGATAATGATGGGATGCAAACCAGTGTCATGCATCTCTAAAAACATCACATAACCAATCACAATCGGATTCTGTAGACGGATCCTAGAAACCATAGCTCAACGGTCTCCTTTTATACTTTTTAATTTATAGTAAGGAAATTATTTAAACCTGAGCAGCACCAAAAGTGTTGATGGCAAAAAGTTACTGATTGAAATAAGTTTGATTCTACATTAAGTCTGATTCTGAATATACAGCAAGGAATAAAAATAAATAGGTATAATACATTGTGATTTCTGGATTTTTTTTTAAGATTATGTCTTTCACAGTGGACATGCACCAACAATGACAATTTCAGAGTCCTCAATGATTTCTAAGTGGGAGAACTTGCAAAAAATAGGGTATTTAAATACTTATTTTCCTCACTGTATCAAATCAAACAATCAGCAAAAAGTTGAAGCAGGCGAGGCAAAGACAAAGCATTCGCTGTGTCAGAATCGTACATCATGTTGTCACATCTTATGTTTACATTTCTATTGTTTCTGTGCTATTGTACTACATATATGGTGGGTTATAGACTCCTCCTGGGTTTAAACACGCCCTTAAGTCAACAATGAGTCATGACCCTGCTTGTTGTTATGGTGATGTGGAGCACCACCCAAGTGCTTCCATACTGTAATGAGGCTCCACCTAAAACAGATGCTTTCAGTTTGTATAACTCACCTTGTCTGCTTTCAAAGTCACGTGCCCAACACTGCAGGTACCTTGCATGTAAACTGTAGTTGGAAATGTGTGATAGGGGCTTTAACATTATAAAGTGCTATTGGAGCAAAGTAGATTCTATGCTTCAAAGACAAATAACTTCCAAAACAAATGGCATTAAACTGAATTACACTGCTTGCATTATAATAAAGATTAAGGAAAACATTTCATATAAATCTGTCTATTTTATCTATATGTATGGAAACTGAACCTGTCCGTAAACTTCATTGAAGAGACATGCTGAGAATTTGTGTTAGATTAATTGAATTGAAATGGAGAATGGCTGAACGCTAAGCTAGGGTTACTCAAATAATTACATATGTAATCGCAATTTAACAAGATGCTATTTTTAAATCGCAGAGAAACTCAGTTTTTGTCTCATTACATTTAATGAAGGTTAGATAGAGACTTTTTCACTCCATCCCATTATGTGGCAGCTATACACTTATAGTGGGTTTGCTGCCATGCAGAAGGGAGGAGAGCTGCAGCTAGCATGCAGAGCCATACATGCAAGTACAAGTAAGCAAGTTTCCACATAACAGTAACAATAAAGTCCTCTGACAATGGACTCTAGACAAGAAAGAGGTTTTATGGTTATGAAAACAATTAAACACTGGAGTGAAACATCTACTTGCTTGTGGTAGGTGCTAAGGAAACTCAAAATAAAATCTGAATCTCAACATTGGTTGAAGAAGGAAAGAAATAGTATTAAACAAAAATCTATATTTTGATTTTTGACTAAAATCAATCAGCCTACAAATACCAATGCAAAGTTAGGGGAAAAGCTAAATGGAAATGACAAACCACAGATGGATAATGCAACTTCTGAATTCAAATCATTAAAGGAGAATTCCAGTTTTTAACACTTTTAGCCCATTTTCTGTAGTGTCCAGGATGAAATCGAATGATCGACACCAAAATTTTGACAATTGGTCCTGTCTC